ATCTGCTCCCCTGGGCCACAAGAGGTGGGCAGGAAGGGTGGATCACAAGGCCACACCCCCTGAGCCAGTGATTGGCTCAGTGACGGGAAATGACTGTGGAAACAAGGCTGACACACCTTCTGCCCCGGTGAAGTGCAGCCCTGGCTCAGAGTCAGCCCCCAACACAAGGTAGCGACACGGATGTTGCTGCTAATAACAACATCCTGTCCAGGCAGATCTCGAGAGGCCAGGCCTTTGCCACTTCCTCTCTAGAATACCAGTACCCTCATCCCATACCGGGGGCTTCCACCACCCCCAGGAACCCCTTCACTCGGGGGCCTCTAAGGCTATCCCAGTTCAAAGGCCACCCCTTCCAGGAAGCCTTCCTCCTGTCCCCAAGCAGAAGGCCCTACTTCCTTCCTCTGAATGCCTCTACACTTGGCCTTCACCTCTCCTGTGACACTGGGGACCGGGTACCAGCCCAAACATTTTCCCATTTCACCCTCACACCAACCATTAGCGATCATATTATCAGGTCCATTTTACAGATGGGGTCACTGAGGCTCCCAGAGATTATACAACTTGCCTGTGTGTGGCAGAGTGCCCTGAGGGCAGGATGGCAGGTGGCTTGCTCACCACTAACTGTGTAACTCTGTGACACAGCATGAATGAGAAGCAGTTTCTCCTGAGCTCACTCTTAATCCCTTCCTGCTGCAAAGCCCCCCACACATACCAGGCCCTACTCTCCCCCCACCTGCCTGTGGGGCTTTGCTTACCTGGCCCATGGGGCCATCTTCAAAGCCAGGTTGCGATTGATGCAGAAGCCAGCACCCCCGGTGGCAAACCAGAACTGTACCAGCCTCTGGCGGGAGAGGTGGGGAGGGCCAAGGAGCAGGGTGAGCCTGGGGGTGGGGGCAACGGCCGGGCCCTCCCTCACCCCCCAACCAGCATGATTCAAAACCTTTTCATTTCACATTTCACTAAAGTCTTGCGACAGCCTGACATTATTATGCCCATTTTACAGACAAGAAAACCGAGGCCCAAAGTCACATGGCTAATTAAGAGTGATGGGGTCACCAATTAGACCCCAGTCTGGCTGGATTTCAGTTAAAGAGAATATGTATCCTATTTGTCCGCCCAGCACACCTTACCCCTTTCCCCAGCGGAATGCCTCTACCTCACCCCAGGTGGTTCGGGGGGGGGTTGCCAAATACAGCATCTGCTCCCCTGGGCCACAAGAGGTGGGCAGGAAGGGTGGATCACAAGGCCACACCCCCTGAGCCAGTGATTGGCTCAGTGACGGGAAATGACTTAGGCCAGCCAATCCGAGTTCTTCCCTGAGCTCCCTATGCTACCTAGGGGGAAGAGCTGCTTTCTAGAGAGTCACCAGTCTTGGGAGCGGTAGTCCCAAAGCCTCCGGTGCCAAGCCACCTGTACCGGCCTCACCACTTCCAGGTCCTGGGACTGAGAAAACTCTGCACAAGGAAAGATCGCGGCCTCTCGCGGAGTAGAGAGAGAATGACAGGCAGGCCTGTGAGTCCCCAAGGCCAGCAAACCCCTTGACATCTCAATCTCAGGAACCAATAACCTCCCTTGGGGTTTAAATCACTTTCTGCCCCTGCCTCGTCGGTGAGGCCTCGTGAAGTCACAGCACATGAATTTCTCTAAGGCTTTTGGCAAACCCTGCTCCCTTTCAGCTGTACTATATCTTGACCAACGAGTTCCCTACAGTTACCTTCTCCCAAGTACATAGTTGGTGCTTAATTGATGCATGGTGCATGGGGTTGGGTTATCTCCCATGATGCAACAGTAAGAAGAACCCAGGGCAGGAAACTGGGAAGCCTGACTCTGGGGCCTCAGCCTCCTCCACTCCTCCCAGCTGTGTGACCTTGAGAAAGTCTCTGCTCCTCTCTGGGCCTCAGATTTGTCACCTGTGAGCACTTCTGCTCCAGTGCGGCCAGCCCTGTGTCCTCCTCCTAAAGATCTCTATGAGCTGCTTCTCGAAATGCCTCCCTCTTAGCTAGAGGTCAGGCCTCGAAGCAGAATGAACGGGTTCTTAAGGACCTGACACATAGGAGGTGCCCAGTGAATGCTCGTTTAATGACCTACGGGCCCAGGGCTTCTGTTCCCAGATAATTAAAGGAGCGACGGCATTAACAGTAGAAGTACCTATGACCCTGAGCACTGCCATACGGCATCCTGGGCCACAGACGAGGTGACGAGGTGCAGAGATGGGTGGTCACCAGCCTGAGGTCCCAGAGCTGGGACTGAGCCTGAGCCAGAACTCTTGCCCCCTTTTGCTGTCCCCTCCCCCAACCACACAACCCAGGTGGTATCCCAGAATCCAAACAGGCTGGGACACTCTGGGGCAGAGTCTAGGGATCCCGCCGATGGAGTGTGTGCAAGGAGGGTGTTAGTGCACGTTGTGGGGTCAGGGCCTGCATGTACTCAGCAGGTGCTGAACCTGCCCGGGGAGCAGGAGGCCGGGGGACGCAGGTGGAGCTGGGTTGGGTACCAATCGCTGACACTTACTAGTGTCATCACGTGCCAGGTCCCATTCCAAGCACTTGGGTAGGTGACCTCATTGAATTGTTCCCTTTTTTGCTCACAACCACCCTATTAGGTGGGGACGGTTATCACCCATTTTGCAGACGAGGAAACTACGGCACAGAAAGGTGGGGTAACTTGAGCAAAAGTCAGGAAGCCAGGAAGTGGCAGATGGCGTGTGAAGCCCAGGAGCCGGGCTCCAGAGCCGCGTTCTCAACCCCTACCGCCAAGCATGTGGCGGTGTGGGGGCCTGGGGCACCCCTCGCTCACCTGCAGTCAATTCACACACACACCCCCAGGGCCCAGGAGGATTTAATTAGGGCTCAGAGGCCGATTAACAACTGATAATTAAGGTTGTGTGCTTCCTGCTCTTGGTTTCCCTAACGAAGCAGATGGTGAGCCGGGGAGGCAGAGAGCCCCACTGCGGGCCCAGCTCCTGCTCCACGTGCTGCCTCTAGGGAGGGGGGCCCCCTGACTAGCCTTTTCCCTGGGGCCAAGGGAGCCCCCTAGGGGCCTGGGTCACACCAACACCAGAAGCCTGGTGGGTCCTGGGGACCAGGAGAGCACCATGCTCCATACTTACACTACAGAATTCTTCCGTGTTTATCTGCAAGTTCAATTTAACTATTATCCTGATTTTTGGTTTATTTGTTTCCTAAATCTCACAACCCTCATTAGCAGCCATCTAGGTCTGGAGCTGAATGAAGCTGGTGCTAGGGACCCCATTGTGCCCAGGTGTCACCTCTTTAGTTGCTGGTCAGTGAAGTCTGGAGAAAGGAGGGGTGCGGAGGGGAGGGGAGTGCTCAGGGGCTGGGGGGCAGCGCAATTTACCGCGCGGCCCAGCAGTATCGGGCATTTGAACAGCCTGTACAGCTACATGACAATACCAGGGGCTAGGAGCCCTGCCATGGAGTCGGGCAGCCTCAGCTCAACCCCCCCACCCACACCCCCCACCCCACACACCCCCGTCACTGTGTGACCAGAATGAGCCCCTGCTTCTCAGTGACTGAGGCCCTCCTGTGTGCCAGAGTCTGCGCCTCACCTGCATTATCTCAGTCTCCCCATTTCAGAGGAGAACACAAGATCGGCGGCAAAGTCACCAACCCAAACACACAGCAAGGAGACCAAATGAGAAAGCGGGAAAACCCACCTAACTCCGCAAGGGCCCTGGCCCCGGCCTGGCCCCGCCCCCCGGCCTGGCCACAGCCAACACCCACGGCCAATGCACGAAGGAGGAAGGAAGGGACCCACCGTGCGGTTGTGGGGCCTCGGCTCAGAAGCGCGGATAGGCCGGTTCAGGCTGGGCCGGCCTACGTAGACGTCGTGAGTCTGTGGGAAGGCTTTTAGCAGTTTCAGCAGTGCCCTTGGGTTCACATAGTTGTCGTCATCCACGTGGCAGAACCACCTGTGAGGACAGAAGGGGGATGGTAAGCTTGGAGGAGGGTTCCCAAGGGCCGCCAGCTAGCCAGACTCCCCCATGCCCCCCATAATCAGTCAACAAAATTTGGCAGTGAGAGTAGCTAACACTGAAGGCCCAGGCTCTGAGCCTGATAGCATCTTGTGTGAGCTCCCAAGGAAAGTGTGCCCACTTAACAGGTGGGGACCGAGGTTCAGAAAGGTTAAGACACTTGCCCAAGGTCACACAGTCAGGATATGGCAAGACTTAAACCCAGACCATCTGCCCAGAGACAGACCCCAGGAGGCCCTTACATGATTAAATTCACAGGACCCAGCCGACTTCATTTTTTGACACAACACCCTATTCAGGAACTAGCCTGAGGCAAAGGTCACACCTGGCCCCAGAGACCCAGGGGCACTCACCACAGCCCACGGGCCAAGAAGGTGTCAAACTCAGCAGCCATCTTGCAGGACAGGGCGGGGTGGCTGTGCTCAGCAGAGCAGTTGGTGACCACAAGGTGGGACCCTGGAGAAGTGGGGACAAGTCAGGGGACCCTACCCAGGTCCTCCCCACAGCCCGGCACACCAGGAGAATGCAGAGCAAGACTTCAGCCTGGAGCGGCCCACCCATTCCCATTTTACACATGGGGAAACTGACCAGGGAGGGCTGACTCCCCAGGACCCCAGAGCTAATGAACAGGAGGCTGGGCTGGGACCCACGAGTCCAGGGTACCATCCAGAACAGCCCCTCCTCACACCCACACCCGCTTCCAGGGAAGAAGCCTGCTCCCCTCCTGGGCAAAGGGGAATCCCCACATGCCAAGAGAGGGCAGCCCTGTTTCTTGGGGACCCCAGGCCAGGGGACAACTGCCCCAGCTTTCCCTGGAAACAGCTGAGGGGCCCCACCTGGACTTACCCAGTCTCTCCTGGAGGCCTTCATCTGAGCTGTCGGTGAAGACAAACGTCTAAGGAGAAAGAGGAGTCAGGACCGGAGTCGACCAAGGACAGCCCGCAGGCACGCCCCTGCTGAAGCACCTGTCAGAGCTCCATCCTCCGGCAGTGACAGACACACCCCCTCCCAACATCATCACACACTCCTTTCAGACACCATGACTTTCTCAGCTACTCCCCTTACAAGACACACAACACAGCCTCACACCACACACCAGCGACCGTGTCACTTGCACGAGTACCCTTGCAGACCAGCGCCCATGGGGACCCTCCCAGAGGCACACCCTCTTCTATCCCACACACATACACGCACTGCAGTCCCACTTGGCCCCTCCATCACCACACGTACACAACCTGAGACACTTTGTCAGGAGACAGACTCTGCGTGGAAAGACCCACACCCTGGGACAGCACACCTGCTTGGGGAGATGGCCATGGCTTTCACAGCCACACAGACTCCCTGGGCAGGTGCAGGGTCCTTACGCATCTCAGAAATTTTACATCATGATCCAACCCCAGCTCTCCCAGATTGCAGAAGCAGCCCACCGGCGGCTTGCACAATTCCTGGTCCCTGATGACCTCACTGAACCTCAAGACAGGTGTCATAATCTGTCCCCCTCGCAGATGGCAAAACTGAGGCTAAGGGACAGGCTATGGTTGTACAGTTGGCAACTGCTGAGCTGGGATTCAGACCCACAGGACCTGGATCTCTCCTCACCACGCCCCAGGCAGGTAAAGGCCACTCAAGCCCTAGATAAACTGAACACAAACTGAATGAGAGACGAATGAGAAGCAGCTCGTGGCAAGACAGACCCACAGCCGGGGACCCGTCTAACCCCCATTCCACACCCTGCCCAGCACATGCACCTTTCCCTGCCTGAGCAGGTCGTCTTGTCCGCCGAGCACAGTGAGAGCCTCCTCTGACCCTTAGGTGGCCCTGTCCAGGGCCTGGACAATTCTGAATTCTTTCCAAGGGAGGACCAAGGAGAAAGCATCCCACCTGTTGAAAGGCCCTCAACATCCCCATCCCTCACTCGGGCCACCCTGGGTCTGGCCCCGTCCTCCTTCCAGACTCAGGGCCTCCAACTGCATGCCCCTCCCTGCTCAGCCACAAACTTCTCCCTGGTTTCCAGGAACTAGCCCTTCAGATCAGATCAGCCCCTGCTTTGAGCCTCAGTTTACCTGGCTGGAAAATGGGGGCGAGCAGTAGCTGTGACAGTAAAGTGAGATAATATGAGAAAGAAGAAGAAAGAGGTGGCAGCGAAGCCAGGCTCTGCTTCTTATCTCGGGGGAAACTGAGGCACCAGAGACCAGAAGCCAGGGTTGGGCACAGGAAGGGGCACAAGGGAATGAGTCCTGTCTCCCCAAGAGTCCACAACCATGGGCCTTCTGAGCCATTATCTTTCAATGGATTAGGGCAAGACCTTCAGATCTCTTTTCCTGTCAGGACCAGAATCAGATAATACCCATACCCACCACCCCGCCTAGCACCTTCTGTGGCTCCCTACTGCCCTCAGGATAAAGGCCAGCCTCCTAAGTGTGGCCATGAGGGGCCACCCAGCCCCTGTGCCTGATACAGCCTAACCCACCACTTCCTGCCCCACCCCTTCTCTTAAATCCAAAGGTCTTTCAGTTCCCCAAATGTGCCACACACATGCACACCCCTCTGGGCCTTTCTTGCCCCCTAACTCCTAGTTCAGTCATCACTTCCTCCGGGAAGCCTTCCCTGACACCCCTCCCACGTGCCCCTCAGCCACCTGTTCCTGCTGATGGTAAGTAACAACAGCCCCTTGGTAATGAAAATCTATCCTTTGGTCTCTCCCACCAGACAGTGACATCCTGAAGGGCACAGGCCTGGTCTGATTTATCTCCCTGTCCAGGAGACCTGGGCAGCATCCACTTTCTGAGCCCCCCTCCCTGGGGTGTGTCTCCCACCTTCAGATTTAGCTAACACTGGAGGTCCCTGGATATCGCTGCAGAAAGTGTTGGTGGCCCGATGCTGGCCCTCTTCTCTGTCCCACCCACCGCCTCAGTGATGCTCTCCAGCCTCTCGGCTTTCAGCAAGAGGCCATCAAACCCCACGGCAGCCGCAACTTCTCCCCGGGTGCCTCAGACTCAGTGCCCCAGCTCCTCCCGGACCTATGCTCCTCTCGGTGCTCCCCATCTTGCTGGGACCCAACACCCTGGGGTCACCACGCCTCCTCTCTTTCACACCCCACACCCACCCAACCTTCAAATCACCCAGGATGCGACCTCTCCACAGCAGCCTCCATGGCCACTGGTGGCCCAGCCCCTCCCTGGTCATCTCCTGCCTGCTTTGCTACAGTCACCCTTGCCCTGGTCTCTCTGCTGTCCTGTCCCCACCCCAAGTCTGTTTTCAACACAGCCCCCAGGGAGCCAGGGAAGTAAATCAGGCCTTTCTTGCCCTGCTCCCTGGGAAACTTTTGCCACCAAACATCCTCCAGATAGTGGAACTCTCTGGAGTTTGGAGCATGGGCCAAATGGGCCAGGGCATGTTTGCTGATGGATGAATAAGCCCCGAATCAGCAGGGGAAGGGGGAGGGAGGGGGTCCCGCTGCAGGGCTGGGGGCTGGGCGGGGCGCATGAGGCTGGTGTTCCAGTCCCTGGGAACCCTAAGATTGGCACAGAGTGGTGGGCAGAGTTTCCTCTGAGCCAAGGGTTGCATTTAATTTGTTTAAGGAGGAGACTCTGACAATGGTTAAAACCTCACAGGAAAACAAAAGGATAGGCAGCCCTCTGGGGTCAGGCGAGAGGGGACTGGGGGCCATCTGGTGAAAAGGAAGGAAGATGTAGGGCAGGTTCTGTGGCCCTCACCCCCCACCCACCGCCCTCGAGGGGTCTGTGGGGAAGGGAAAGGCTCCCCACGGAGCCTCCCCCAGCCCACCCCTTCTGCCTGGGACAAAGGCTACACGAGCCCCAGCCTGCCACCACAAAGGCCCACCTGCCACCCAGCTGCCCTTAACCAGCTGGGGCGGGCGCCCAGCCCTGGAGTTAACCAGCTCAGGCCCACTCCTGAGGGCAGAGCTAAGAGAGGCTCAGAGACCCTCCTGTCCTGTGCAGATGGGGAAACTGAGGGCTGAAAGGGGGAGGGTCTCAGCCAAGGTCACAGAAAGAGATGCGCCAAAGGGTTGAGACAAATGAGCCCCAGATGCAGTGTGCGGTAAGCATGTGTCTTCCTGCCTCCCCTCCTCTTCCTCAATGTAAGCATCCTTGCTTTTCTCAACCCTACATACAGGACAAGGTTTCTCGACTCTGCCCCTTGTGCTGGGGGTGGAGGGGTGTTGCGCAACTGAGTGAATTCATCTCCTACCTCAGCTTCACTGTGCTCAGTTTCCTCGCCTATAAAACAGGCCTATCGATACCTCCCACTCGGGGCTGCTGTGGGGGTTAAACAGAGTGAGGCATCTGATGGGCAGCCCCTTGGGTGCTGAGCAGTGGGCATGTGGGATTGAGCTTGAGGCACACAGTGGGTGGTTGCTTCCTCGCCTTTGCTGACCTGGTCCTGCCAGGTCCACCCAGGCTGGGGGCCCCAGGACCCTCTCCTGTAGCCCAGCGACCAGGCAGCTCTGGGATCCTGGGTCTCAGCAGAGAAAGAAGGGCCCCAGCCAGGAGAAGGCGGCTGGGTCCCACTGGGCTCTGCACCCCCAAGCCTTCGGAGTGATGTTGACAAGCCCTTCCTCCCTCTGGCCTCAGTTTCCTCATCCGGGGCAAGGGCACCACCATGGTGATCAAGACAAGGCAGGAAGGGGCCTCAGACCACGTGAGTCAGGCTCCCGGGTACACAGACGCAGCACCATAAACAGGAAGGTCTGTGGGCAGGGCCAGGCTCAGTGGCTTCCGCAGGAGGAACCAGAATCTCCCCAAGATGAGAAGCTGTGGGGGGGGCCCAGGGAAGAACCTGGGTGCTGGGGTCCCCCTGAAGAAAGGGTTAAATAGGGTGCTAAGACATCATGGTCAGGAAATCGGGGAGAGGGGGTGCCCTCTCCCCAGAAGGCCCTGGGCTCCTGCAGACATCACCTCCCCTGCTCCTTGGTCTCCCAGGAGCCCGCAATCCCCTCCAAAAGCCGTCACTTCCTCCCACTGAGCCCATCACCACAGTAGGGACTGTGTGTGCGTGTGTGTGTGTGCGTGTGTGTAAAGCTAACCCTTCACCTCCCCAGAGATGGTTCCCAACACCCCTAAATCACTGACTTTGCTTGGGGAGGGCACTGGGACTGTGGAGGGCAAGAGCCAGAGGGACTCAGCTTGTCCCCAGAAAGACATAAGCCATACGGCCCCATCATCCACACACCTCTTGTCATAGCCCCTCTAACGAGGACACTTTGGCTCCATGCAGGAGCGCACACACACACGCACACGCACGCACACGCACACGCACACGCACATGCGTGCTGGGCAGACCTCTAACCTCTCCCCGCCATCGCTTGGTCACCACCGTCACAGCGGACCTCCCCGCTCCATCCGAAACTGCCCCACAGGAAAGGAGCACAGGAGATGAGGCGCCACTGCGCTGGGCACACCCCGGGTAGCAGCGGCGGCGGGGGGGCTGCCAGGAATTCTGATGCCCCCCCGCCCCACCCCTCTCCCCGAACAGGCTCCCCCAAGACCTTTGCCTTCTCAGCGGCTCAGCCCCTGATCTCCACCCGAGCAGCCCGAACAGCCCAAGCAGCGGGACAACAGGCCTGGGCAGGGGGCAGCCTGGCCTGGGCGCACGTCCGAGTCAGGACCTCGCAGACGCCTCTACCCCGGCCACCCCCGCACCTCCCCGCTGTCCCCATCGCCAGTCTGGGCCAAGGTGGGCAGGAGCAAAGACTGTGCTAGAAGAACCAGGAGGGACTGAGGAGCCTAGGGCAGGGGCCCCGCCTGGCCCCTGAAAGACATGGAGCAGGGGGCCTCAGGAGCACCTGGCTCCAGGGCCAGCGAGGGGCCCAGGCCCGGCGGCAGGAGCCGCTGGTCCCCGGAGGAAGGAGGAGTGGGAAGACAAGCCCAGACTGGGCAGGTGGGCGGGCAGCTTCTCCCTGGAGGCCGCCAGGGACCCCAGCCCAACAGAAAGGCCTCCAGGAGTCCCTCAGGCCAGGGCCCACTCCTGGGGCCTGCAGTCGCCCACTTGTCACCTGTTCCCTGGTCCTGGAGACCCACGTGTCGAGCAGCAGCTCCAGGCGGGAGCGGTGGAAGGCTCGGGTCGTCTTGACTGCAATGAAGACATCGTGCAGCCGCAGCTCGGGGGACAGAGGGCTTGGCGGGCTCAGTCCGGGGGTCTCCCGCATGCTCTGTGGAAACAGGCTCGAGTGGTACCGTAGGGAGAGGAGCCCCATGCACAGAACGGTGAGGAGGGCTCCCGCCAGGCCCCGGACGAGGCGGCACTGCATTGGCCCTGGGACCCTAGACAGCTCAGCCCCCGAATCCCCACCCGACAGGGAGGCGAGGCTGGTTTGGCGGGGGCCCCGGCCCAGGCAAAAGTCTGGTAGGCATCGGGGGGTGGGGGGGTGCAGGCGAGGAGGGGAGAGGTGGGAGCTGGTGCTCTGACCGGGGAGGCCGAGCCCCGGTAGCCCCGCCGCCGCCGCCGCCGCCGCCGCCAGCCCTCCACCTGCTCCCGGCGCGCTCCCGCCCGGCTCCGGGACGCCTGGCCCCGCCCCTGCCTCCAGGGCAGCCCGAGGGGCGGGGCCGGCCCGGGGAGCCCCAGAGGTGGCTGGAAAAGGCTCTGCCGAAGGGACAGCCCCGGGGCCGGCCAGCTGCTGCAGTGGGGGTGGGGACAACAACAAACCTTCCATGCCCCATGGAAGGGAGGGGCCTCCCAGCCTCCCCACTCCCCAGGGACTGTCAGGTTAGCTCATTCAACACCCATTGTTTTACGGTGTCCTGCTCTCCAGCCTCCCAGCTTTTGCTCACACTGTACCTCCTCCTGGATGCCCTCCCCCATCCTCCCCACCGTCACCCATGTTCCTTTCACCCAGCTACATCCTACTTGGACGTTAAGGCTCAGCTCAAGGGTGTCCCCCTCCAGAAAGCCTTCCCTGATGCCCCCCTCCCAACCTCCAGGGCGCCCACAGTAGTTTGCTCGGCTCCTTGGCTCTTCACAACAGCGGGAGGATTGCTAATCCCAGTTGATAGCTGAGCACATAAGGCACAGAACCATCGAAGAGGACCCAGCAGCTCAGCCACAGAGCCAATCGAACCCAGGTCTCTGGGTCTCCCCTGGCCCCCAGGAGGCCCCAAAGGGTGCCTGTCCTGCTGTAGCCGACCGCACCCCATCTCACTCAGCAGTCTTTATTGCTGCCTCTCTCCTAGCCAGGCCAGGGACAGAGGGCATTCTCCAGCCACCGCCTCCATCTGGTTGGACACAAGGTCATTCACATCTCATCCTTCCTGTTAGAACCCTGCATCTCCCATCTCCTTCAGAACAAAAGCCCAAGATCATGCCGCAGCCAACAGGTCCTGTGTGAACTGGCTCCCCATTCCCTCCAACCCCGCCTCCTACTACTCTCCCCTTGCTCCCTCCACTCCAGACCCACTGGGCTTCTGGCCAGTCCAGGCACACACCCAGCTCAGGACCTTTGCACATGCTGTTTCTGCCTGGGCCTTTCCCTAAAGGTCTGCACATCTCACTCCCTCACCTCCTTCAGACCTACACAAATGTCATGTTCTCCACAAGGACTTCCCAGGCCACTTTTAAAAAATTGCACTATCATCTCCCCCCTCCTTCCCAGCCCCCCCAGACCTGTCCTTTCCAGGTCCCTTTTTCTGCCGTGTTCTCTCCATAGCCCTTTTTATCTTCCAACACCCTATATATTTTACTTATCTACTGTCTGTCTTTCTCATGAATATGTCAGGGCAGGGGGTTCTTTTTTATTCACTGAATCTCCACTGCCTAGAACAGTGCCTGGCACACCCAAGAAATATTCATTAAACACAAGAAAGTACCAGATGGCTGGTGAATTGGACTGGGCCTGCTGGGGCCCAAGCCTGTACTAGGCATTTGGGGTGAGAGGAAAGGAGAACCAACCCTTTTGAATCACCCTCCTGTGGGCCAGCCCCATGCCAAGGCCCCTCATGGCCCATCTTCTCAGAACGGCATCTCCGAGGGACGATCCCAGGCTTCATGCCACAGACCAGGGTTCAAATCCTGACTGGGCTACTTACCAGCTATGTGGCTTTGGTCAAGTTACTTTACCTCTCTGAATTTTAATTTCATCATTTAACAAATGGAGACAAAATTAAGACATGGTGAGAATTAAGGGGTTAGTGGGCTTCTCTGCCCAGTAAAGGGATACCTACCATGGGACCAGACAAAGCCAACTGCCTCACTGAGGTCCCGCAATGTCACCCAGATTCATGTCCATAGACCAAGCACTGGGCCAGGCATGCAGCAAGAAAGTGGGGAGGTCCGTTTACCCAAATGAGCGTTACCCGGTCTCCACACCCAGGGAGCTCATGGCCACCCTCAGAGACCCACCATCCTGCCACAAGGCAGAACTGAAAAGTCCCAAGGCCTGGCAGAATCAAGCAGGCTTCCTGGAGATGGTGTCTGAGCCAGACCTCAAAAGACACTAAGATACAGGCAGCCCCCACCCCTGAACTTGGACTTCCCAGCTTCATTTCCTACCACTCCACAGGTGGCCAAATTCAACCCATTTTCTGTCTCTGAGACTTCACTCTGGGGATTCCCTCCACCTAGTAACCCATTCCCCCACCCCAACCTCCAGGGGCTGACCCAAGTTCATCACTAGGACAGAGGGCAGCCATAGGATGACCAAGGACAGCACTTAGGCACATAGGTCCAATAAATACTTCTTGAAGGAATCCCAGACCCTAAGCTGAAGCAGCAACCCCCGTGGTAATCCCGCCTGGACCATCCTCTTGCCGGTGGAATGGTCTCAGGACCTGACTGCGCACAGAGGGTTTGCTCTTGGTCTCCTGGACTCAGCAGCCGAGCTCCTTAAGCCAAGACCATACCCTGCTATCCTCAGTGTCCCCTCTCCAGGGGACGCTCCTCTGAGGATTAGACACAGGCAGGGCTGAGCGTGGAGGTGGCCCATCTGTGGGGCCCTTCTTTGGTCATTCAGGGGCAGGTAAGGTGATGCCAGCAGATGGCGGGCGGCTCTGGGATGAGTCAGAAACGAAATCTGACCCTTCCCATGGGCAAGCGGGGGCCTGAGAGGTGGTATCAGCCTGATCTAGGGGTGGGGACGAGCTGGGGGAGTGGAGAGGGGGCCCGGGGCCAGGAAGGCGAGCAAGCAAAAGGCCACCAGCTTCTATGACAAACTGTTTAATGTTCCATAATGTGTAGAATCTGAGTGAAAAAGGCCCGTTAAAAATCAACAGGCCGTACATTCTGGTGACGGAGCAGCCGGCCTTCTCCCCACTGTCCCTCTGAGAGGCGGGTCACTGCAGGGAGACGGCGCTGTGAGAACATGGTCCTCGGTGTACTCCCCGGGCACACACGAGGGTTAGTGCCCAAGTGTCACGGGACGGGGTGTGACATTTACACAGGAGAGAACCACAGACATACATGTGACAAGAAGACGAGAGGGGCCCGGTGGGCCAGGGAAACCACGGTGCCCACACGTGGAGGTATACACAAGAAACGTGAGCGGGGTGCGGGGGAGGGGCATGCCGGGCGGGCTCGGGGGTTCCTTGAACAGAAGGGAATGAGGACCCAGGAGACCTCATGTGCCTGCCGTGAGAACCTGGGTGTGTAAACCAGTGCATAGGAGTGAGAGCTCAGATGCTCCTGGGGGGCAAGGAGGACAGACACGTGCGTGGGGCCCACAACTGGAATCACGGAGACAAGGGGCGCACTGAAGGCCCAGAGCAGCAAGTACGGGGGCGGTGGGAGCTCCGCCCCGAGGGCTCCTGGAAATTCACTCGGGGGAGAGCCCAGAGCTGGGGGCCCCACGTCTGGGAGGCCAAGGGTCTAGGAAGGCTCAGGATGAGGAGGACCCAGCTCCACTGCAGACAGCGGGGTCCGCAGCGGGGGCTTCGTAGGTGTGTGAGGAAGCCGCAGCACCAGAAGGGGCCCCTCAGGCCTCGCTGCTGCCGCCGACGCCCCCGGCACAGCTGCCGCGCTCCACCCACACGAGGCGGGCCTGCTCCTGCAGGATGCGGCCGCGCACCACCTTGGCCAGCCCCTCCGAGTGGCCCCACGCATGCGCAGGCACCTGCACCCAGGAGCAGGGCAGCCCCCAGAGCACCTGCTCCGAGCGATGGCACTGCCGCAGCAGCTCCGAGTCCCGGCAGCCGGGCCGGCCCAGCAGACCCCTGCCGAGAGAGCGGGCGGGCAGCGGTCAGAGCAGGGGCCCAGGACGGACAGGGACACAGAGACACACCAGGAGACGGAGAGCCAGAGGGAGCATGGACAGATGCAGAGAGACAAAAGGACACAGAGACAGGGACATCCAAAGAGGAGGAAAGGCTGGTCCCACCCACCCCCACCCTTCCTTACCTGACTTCCCGGACATTCTTCTCTGTCACCTCCACGTGTATGACAATGGGGTAGATCTCGTTCTGGACCAGCTCCCGAACGCCCCGGGCACCCAGCTCCAGCAGGCAGTGCTTCTTCTCAGGAGACCAAGGCTACATTTTACTCCGGCTCAGAGACACCAACCTCCCTGCCCCCACTGGGCCCCATGGCACAGGCCCCCATGGTGGCCTGCATCCCCCTCCAGAAGGGCCTTGGCAACAAGGAAAGAGCTGCAAGGGAAGGCGGGAGGCCTGGGGAAGTAAGTCACATCCCCGCTCCGGACCTCAGCTTCGCCACTGATAGGATGGAGCAAACCCCACCACCACCCCCAATGCCTGGCAGCCCCTAGCCAGCCCCCAAGGTAGCGGCGAATTTGAGACGGGATGGACGGGTGAGACGGACCAAACACCTCAAAGGTGACCCGCGTTTGGTTGGCCCAGCGCTCCCACTTGCAGGTGAGGAAACAGGCCCGTGAAAGGGCAGGGGTTTACCCAGAGCCTCTCAGACTCTAGCCCTCTGGCCCAGAAAGGCAGCCCCCCACCCCAGCACCTACCTTCCCGACAGACTCCTGGATGGCACGGAGCCTGCTGCCCAGCCCAGGGGTGGCAGGCTGGGCCTTGGGGGCTCCAGGTGCTGAGGATGTGCACTGTTCCTCCCCAGAGAGGCTTTCTGCAGAGAAGTGAGACGCAGGGAGGAAGGGCCAGTGGGCTTGGCTGCCCTGGGGTGCCACCCAGCCCTCCCCATCCCTTCCCTCCCCGGGCACAGGCTCACCCGCTGGGCACACTTGGAAGTCCAGCCGGGAGTTGGGCAGGTCAAGCAGGTTGCGGATGAGCCGGGGTGCCAGGCACTCGGGCAAGAGCACCACAGGCCGCAGAGCGGACACCAGCAGTGGGCGCACCAGGCTGTAGGGTTTGAGGCTTCGCTCAGGCTCTGCAGTGGGGTGGGGTACAGAAGAGATGAGGGTGCAGGTAGAGTCCCCAGCTCCCCATTCCGAGGGTGGCCAGCCCCCTCGATACTCAAAACCCCATCACCTCTTCTCAAGCCCCCCATCTCTTTTCCCTTCCTAAGTCTTACTATTGCTCCTCCTGGGTGTGTGTGCGTGCGCGTGTACACACACACACACACACACACACACACACACACACAC